TTGGGCCTCATGCCAATAAGTTCCAGTACGGCTGGGTGGTTAGATGTTGACCATAGTTCGCAGGAACTACTCTCGCCTCGTGAAGCAGACATCCAGGAAGGCAGGTTCCAGCTTTAGACAGGTAAAGCCCCTGCCCAGACGCCAGTATGGACTTCTGCAGCAGTGCGGCAGTAGGGTGGACAGACCGGCATATGACAGTTAGGCAACAGAGCCTAGAGCTTAACAGTAAGCTTACAGGATACAACACCTGGAGCCCCAACCCTCCCATCTCACCTCCCTGAGTGAAACCCATTCCCCCTCCTTGTCACCACCCTCCTAAATTAAAACTTCGGCTGCAGCCCCACTATCGGAGGTTGGCTGCACTTGCTGCACATGTATGAGAGCATGAGAATTAAAGCAGGCACTGCAAAGACAGTGCTGACACATACAATCCCAACTCCTCCAACCAGCCCCAGCCACACTTCCTAGCATGTAGTGTTATCATCATGACATGGCTAAAGATTCCACAACGAAACACACAACCATGGCACAGATGTGCCCCACCACTACCTGCCTACATCAAACAAATCTGCCGTACTCTGACAGCCATATCGAAGTACGACAGCGTTTTGATGCCCCATGTAAAACAGATAAGAGCCCCGACCCTCGCCCCCATCTTACCTCCATTCCCGGCTGGATGTCGGCCCCATCTTCCGAGGCCTGCTGCACGTGCAGCACGTGGATGGGAACATGAGAATTAGGGCAGGCACGTCAATGACGGAGGCGAAACATACACGCCCCCCTCCCCCAACCAGACCCAGCCACCCTCCATAGCATCAGGAACAAGAAAGAGGGCAACGGGTAACGAATCCACAACGAAACACACAACCCTGGCACAGCTGTGCCCCACAACTACCTGCCTACATCAAACAAATCTGCCGTACTCCGATAGCCATATCGGAGTACGACAGCGTTTTGATGCCCCACCTAAAACACACAAGAGCCCCGACCCTTACCCCCATCTTACCTCCATTCCCGGCTGGACGTCGGCCCCATCTTCCGAGGCCTGCTGCAGGTGCAGCACGTGGATGGGAACATGAGGATTAGGGCAGGCACGTCAATTAGGGCAGGCATGTCAATGACGGAGGCGAAACATACACACACCCCTCCCCCAATCAGCCCCAGCCACCCTCGATAGCATCAGGAACAAGAAAGAGGGCAAGGGGTAACGAATCCACAAAGAAAAACAACCCTGGCACAGCTGTGCCCCACAACTACCTGCCTGCATCAAACAAATCTGCCGTACTCCGATAGCCATATCGGAGTACGACAGTGTTTTGATGCCCCACGTAAAACACATAAGAGCCCTGACCCTTACCCCCATCTTACCTCCATTCCCGGCTGGACGTCGGCCCCATCTTCCGAGGCCTGCTGCACGTGCAGGACATGGATGGGAACATGAGAATTAGGGCAGGCACGTCAATGACGGCAGGCACGTCAATTAGGGCAGGCACGTCAATTAGGGCAGGCACGTCAATGACGGAGGCGAAACATACACACACCCCTCCCCCAACCAGCCCCAGCCACCCTCGATAGCATCAGGAACAAGAAAGAGGGCAAGGGGTAACGAATCCACAAAGAAAAACAACCCTGGCACAGCTGTGCCCCACAACTACCTGCCTGCATCAAACAAATCTGCCGTATTCCGATAGCCATATCGGAGTACGACAGCGTTTTGATGCCCCACGTAAAACACATAAGAGCCCCGACCCTCGCCCCCATCTTACCTCCATTCCCGGCTGGACGTCGGCCCCATCTTCCGAGGCCTGCTGCACGTGCAGGACGTGGATGGGAACATGAGAATTAGGGCAGGCACGTCAATGACGGTGGCGAAACATACACGCCCCCCTCCCCCAACCAGCCCCAGCCACCCTCCATAGCATCAGGAACAAGGAAGAGGGCAACGGGTAA